CTGTCTCAATCTGCAGAAGCAGGAGCTATACACCAACGCACTCGAAAATGTCTGTATTCTGGACCATATCGGGACGCGTAAGGCCAGCAACTCGTCTCAGAAAGCCCATTTCAGCCACTCGTACCCGGGCTGAAAGTTTTTTCGCTATGACCGTAGGTAAGCGTGGGGATAAAGATAGACTTGAACAACAAGAGTTTAGTTTTTAGACTGAGCTCTGCTTCAGTCACAATGGTTTGGGCTACTTCACGCAGAACACCACTGGACACTCCAATTCGCCGATCGATCTGTTCCTCAGAGTCATATTCACTAGTAATGGAAAGTTGGAGGAAGAGATCGACCGACGAATTAGAGTTACTAGTGGCGTTTTATGTGAATTAGCCCAACCCATTGTGACTGAAGTAGAGCTGAGTCTGAAAACTAAGTTCTCGGTGTTCAAGTCGATCTTTATCCGTATGCCCTACATACGATCATGAGTCGTGGACCATGACTGAAAAACTTCGATCCCGGGTACAAGCGGCTTAAAGGGGCTTTCTGAGACGAGTCGCTGGCCTTACGCGTCTCGACATTGTCCGGAATGCAGACATTCGCGAGAGCCCTGGTGTACAGCCCCTAGTCGCGAAAGCAGACGCGTCAGACAGTGCTACTAACGTTCTCGATCCTGAGCCAGAGCCGGAGCTTCGGCAGAAGACAGCTGGAGTCTAGAACAGACAGCTTCCATATATGTGCACCAAGTTAATCATAAACTTATTTTGAAAAAGAAGTTTCGTCTACAGTTAAATTAAGCAGTCTGTTTTGTTGATCTGAAATCTGGAATCGGAATTTCATGAAAAATAGGATAGGACTACATTCTACATGCAATGCCAGCTGGAGCTATGGAACATTATGAATTGCGTCAACAATACCCACGTAATAGAACTCGATTACCAGGCAAAACCCACATTACTGCAAGAAGAGCAACCTGAACAGATGGAATATTCATTGCGCAAATAAGCTAAATTAAAAATTTTATGAAATTCCTCCAATCAAATTGCACGAACTTAGTATCACCTAGTGAATCTGGATTTCAATATCATCGTTCATAGCAAGATACGCTTACAACACATAAAATTTGATATACAGGGAAAGCAAAAGTACTAAAATAATAACTGCGCCAATTTTCAGGAAAGACGACTTCAGATTCAGATAATGAGCTTGCTGTTTGTACTTCTTGCTAAGCACCGCCAGATCTCCAGCTTTATCGTCGAGCACTATAAATAAAACACATCTCCACATAGAATGAAGGTAATAACTAAGTGCCATAAAATATTATTACTAAGAAAGAAGCACCTTAAAGTAACCAAAGGAAGAAAGTGGAAGACTAGTTACACATATAGAACAGACTGATACAACAGTCATGTTAAAACTACTGATGGAAAGAATCATAAACTGCAGGCACCGTGTTGAAAGTCTGTGAAACGAAGAGATCGCATAAATTTATCAAAACTTCGACGTGATGCATAGCCGTGCAGATCTGTCAGGACGGTACACATACGGAATGACATAGATAGTCATTTTTAATGTGGACACGATCACACCAGACCAAATCATTGCTAATTTGTATTTTTAGTTGAAGGGAAGAACTCTTTTCCACGTCCAGCTCGAAAGGTCAACGTCATACACCACCAGTGTTAACAAACCAGTTCTAACGGTACCATGACAAAGGACACAACAGTACATATTCGGGTCGCATTTATAGCAAAAAACTAGCAGTAAACAGCGGTTAGGAAAGAAACTTTCTGTGGCGAATGGTAGTGCCAAGAGATAAGGATGGCACAGATAGATGTCATCAAGAACTCTGAGGAACGACAGAAGAGCCAAACAAACAGCGAACAAAGTAAAAATATTTGACTCGACAAGCAGGTCCCCAGCGAAGCGAATATACGAAAAAACGTTGATTCTCCTACTGCCGCAGTGTTACGCCGAAACATGTGTATTTTTCAGTCTACTCTACGACACCGAAAACGAAAACGACCTTAGTGCTTACTACAAAGCATCAACTGATATAAAGTTTTCTGAAAGCTCTGAGTGCTGAAGAAAGAAATTTCTGAACATACGCTATGACATGCGTGCGGGAATTTGTAATCAATTAGATGAATTACATCTCACGTATAAGTCCTGCGGCAACTTCCGTTCGTCCGTCTCACAACCACAGGGTGAATTCTTGTACGATTAAGATTATCAGGCAACTACTAAAAGAGCTTATATCAGTGCAGTACTCGTCAGTGACTTTACGACAAAATAAATAGAATATTTTCATCAGTTACCGATGTTAATGCGGCAAGAAGAAAACGACCGGCTTCATGTATAGCCTATTCAAGACGTCCAGAACGTGGCGAAAAACCGACTACGGAACAGGTTATGGTGAAACTATCTCCCGTTCTGTGGAATACTTCTGAACGTCAGAATACGGGAGCTTTATTCGAAATGCAAAAATGGTTCAGATATGGAACCAAGGTTACACAACGGCTTACGGCCAAACGTATGCGATGACTGGGCTCGTGTTAGAAAGGATGAAAACAGGCAATGGAAAGAAATGCCACAAGCAAACATCGAAGAAAAACCTTCGTTTATGATAATTCGGCTAAATGTTCGGTAACGAAAGGGCATTCAGCTAATAAATCCTTGGTTGGGATGACTAAACAGGTAGAAAATTATGAATTACTTTAACAAGAATTAGCAGTATGCTAGTAAACCGATATGATCGGTTTATTTTTACGCATGAATTATTTTCTGCAGAAATACCAAGCAAACTTAACATTTTCGTAATGTACACAGAAAGCAGGTAAAAGTTTCGAATATAAATTTGGTAGACGATTATGGCTGTTAACCCTAAAAAGTAAGCCATTGCCCAAACCTACAACGTGTCTTAACTTACGATTTACTGGATGTCGCAAGGGGTTACGGCATCCCCACGCTTCTTAACAACATTTGCCAATATATTCTGTTCTGGGTCATATCGGATATGATTGCAAGTCAATCTTATGCCATGTTTGGCTCGCAATTTGTAAGCAGGTGCGGCCCATCTGCTTATCTGACAGTTCGTCTCTGACATTATCCAATACATTAAGTTGTCGGCTTGCCTCTCGGTCTTTTCTAAATGGATATGGCACACTACGAATCAAGATGTTGATCAGCCGTTTTCCATCCCATCACAGTGCGTCGCTGAGAAGCGAGAGTTTTAGTTTTCCATACTGGCCAAAGGGTAAACTAATATTATTTCCCGCCCAGCGAACTCCATTTCTACTCGTTCTAACGTCCTCCAGCAATTGTACATTCGTGATCTTATCAATCAGGCTATAGCTGAGTATTCTGCGCCAACATGAGCGTTCCAGTACATCCAGCGCATTTGCTTCCTTCTTGGTAAGGGTACACGTTTCTGCGGCATACATTAGTACTGGTCGAATAGCTGTCAGATATACGCGAAGTTTTACTGACGTACTGGCCGCAATTTTCCACAGGTTTTGCTGCAGCATGCTACATGCAATTCAAGCCTGTCTGACTCTCTCCTGGACATCAGCTTCACAGCTTCGGACACTAATGATCATCGATCCAAGATTCGTGACGTACTGCACCTCTTACCGGTAAATTTTTATGATATTGAAATTTTTCAGGGCATACCGTGAAACAAGGACCTTGCATTTCGATGGTTTCACTCTCAGCCCGTAGTTGACGCTGGCTGTTTCTGTTGCTATCAACGCCTTTTGACGTTCTTCTGGGTTCAAAGTAATGATGGCGACGTCATTAGCATAATCCATATCTTGTAATCGGCGTCTTTATGGTTGAAGTATCACTTCGCTATCAAAGATTGTAACTGCTTCTGTAATCACGGCATCAATACAATAGTTAAATAGCGTCGGTCCATTGATCGACACTTGTGGTACTTCGTTATCAATTGGAAAGCTGAACGTGTTCGTACCACCGCTGTTGTCCTGGTATATATGTTTTTCAAGATGTTAACAACTTTGGCAAAACTTTGTCATTTCTTAACAGCTCATACAGGGTTTCGTAGTTTAGAGAATCGAAAGCTGCCTCAAAGTCGACGAACCCAATGAACAGCGGTTTGTGGTATCAGCGGTAGGTTTCCAGCAAAAAGCGCCATGCCAGAATATGGTCGCGGGTAGACCGGTCGGGAAGGAAGTCACATTTTTCTTCATTGGTAATATTCTCTCTACAGAGTCGAATTCTGGTGACGGTAATTCTTTCAACGATCCTGAGCGCCTTCGCAGAGGAGACGAATTCCTCTGTAATTTCGGTCATCCAATACAGCGCCTTATTTGTGCATTGGAATAAGCTTGGCGTCACTCTTCTGGTAATGTCCCCGTTCACCAAATTTCCCGAATAAAGTTCAACAACAGTTGCAACGTGCGCATTAGGCAAGACTGAACTTTGTTTAAGGGTTTACAGGTTAAGAGAGAGCGCAAAGTTCACGAAGAGTCAATACACGAAAGTCGATTTCAAATCCTGGTAATGAACTGACGGTACTCAAATTCTGTTAGTTAACTCTATATCGTATGCAAAAGGAACGAGTTTACATGGCAGTGTTGGGCAGAATCTGGTTAGATAGCAACAATCACAACCTCACCTAGTAAAATTGACTTAATCTCTCGCAAAATATGGATCTGAAGTATGAATTGTCAAGAAATCTCTAAA